ATAGTCGGTATAAACATCACATGGTGTAGTGTTAACGGATTACCATCCTTTAGTATCGCTGAGCCTAACATACCTCCTAAAATTTGTCTACAGAGCACCACAAATGCTTTTGTCAAATGACGCTTGTTTTTAGATTTGTAAAAATTTGCGTTTAACAAATATTTTTCTTCTCGTAAAACATTTAAACTTCGAATTAAATATTATTATAAGTGAATAATATATATTTTATAAATAATATAATTTGCTTGAAGTAAATGACATTTTCATTATAAAACATTAAACACTTCGAATTGAATATATTTTATATATATGTATACACACATACACGATTTCTTCAAAGTATAACGACTTAAAACACTATTTATTACATGTAGAAATATCTTACGAGAAAACGTCCATGCCACCTTTTCCCGAGTCATGTAACTGTTGCACCTTCTGTAACACTCGACATCCTTTCATTACTGCGCCTTCATAAATTTCTTTATGACTTTTGTACTTTGCAGGAATTCTGTCATGCAGAATCGGGTCACTTAGGAAGAAGTTTTCTGCAAATAAATTTGAATGACTTGAATATATATATATATTATATAAAATTTAATAAATACGTATAATTTAATAAATTTTTGTATTAACAATTGCAAATAAGCTGAGATAGCAATACGAGCTAAATCCAATTAATATGCTTAACATGTATGTTAAATTACATAATAATCGAATTGAATAATTAAACTAAACAATTTTAAATAATCAAATCAAATTAAATTTCTGTATAAAGCGACTTCTTTATATATAGAAAAAATTTCATTCTCGATAAAAATTGTCTAGTTTTGGCTTAAAATAAAAATAATTCTGTATTATATTAGTGAAGGATGGATAGAAGAAATATTATAATACTTACGATCGATTCACAATTGAGTTGTTTTTAGATAGAGTAATAATCTCCGCAAGTCATTCGCGGAATTTTCGATAATTTGCGTCAGTATTAGTAATCATAATAACAGATATACGTAGTAGTAAATTAATCGTAAAGTCTAACGTAAAAATATCAATATGAGATATTGTATTCATCTCATGTTGAACATTGAACAGAGAGCAGCTGCGCATATACAAAGACATTATGCAAAATATGTATGTTGTTATGTATTAATTACATATTACGCTCTTGTCAGTCTGTATCATTAAAAATCATAATTTTATATAAAATTTACTGTATCTTATAATGGATCTTAAATCTTTGGAATAACATTAGTGATTTTAATCTCAAGCAATATATATTCGAATGTTTTATAAAAGATAATACAAATATATTATAAAGGTGTAAAAAAATAAAAAATTTAATAGTTTGAATGTGTTTATATGCAACAAAACAATAAAATATCGTCAAAATTAATTACATGATAGGACCATATCATTTACAATTGAGATCCTTAAATTTATTATTCTCGCGTGTTTATATAAAATACTCCACAAAAATCGATTAACGCAAATAATAATAATTTTTATATAATGCTTTTTGTTCTTCACTTTGTCCCTATACATATGTATATATATATATATGTGTATATATTTTTATCTTTGTTGTGTAATACAATATTAAAATATAATTTTATATTTCCCCGAATTCTAATATGTCTATTAAAAAAATTGATAACGTAGCTGATAAACTAATAAATAACTTTTAGTTACAATTAAAACAATACAAAATAATAAATTAAATTAAAAACAGTAATATATGTGTACCTTGGCACAAATGACAAATAAGAATATATAAAAATATAATACTAAAGTCCATAGAATAAAGTACTGCAGAAACATTTAATATTATAAATATAAAAATAGAATAAATAAAAACTGAATTACTTTTTTACTTTACAAATAAATATATCTATTTTATAATAAGATTAACTCCGGCTAATGTGTACATATGTAAGACCATAATAAAATAAATGAATGAAATTACGGAAGATAACCCTCAAAAATGGACTTTTGGTGGCTCGGGATAAGAGACTTGTAGTGCCTATTATTATTAATCATTCATATATTAACTAGTAGTTTTTGAACATGGCTGGAGACACTACTGCGTCTCCTGATTGCCGGAAGATATAGAACGGCAAGAAAGTTCTTGTTGATGTCAAAGTTTAATAATCAAATGTTACAAGCTCATGACCTTAATTAAAGGTTTTTTTATAATAATTTAATGTTCATCATATTTATGACGTTTGCAAAAGTAAATATATTTATAAGTTGAAGGCTTTTGATAAGAAAAAACAAATGCCAAATCAGGCAGAGTGTAAGGTAGTTGTTAAAAGAAAGAATTTTTATAATATGATATTATACCAGATATTTTTTTATATTTATTATAAATTTACCGATGATTACATAACACACACACAGACAGTGTCCCATTTTTAAGCATACATGATGTCCTCAAATATCTCTTAAACAATGTATTTAAAAAAGGTCTCTCATATAAAAGTTGTATAGCTTGAGAAGATGCAAATAATACGTAATAAAAAAAAATTAATTAAAAAAATAAATTTTTTAAGATCATATGAAAATTATCATCACTTTTTAAAATGGAATTATATGAAGATTATTGCCATTTGTTTAAATGGAATAATTTTATTTTCCTCTAATTGTTCTGCATATAAAAATATTAAGAAGAGATCGATGAATCATTAATTTTCAAATTATTTTATATTTTCTTACATATATATTAAAATATCTCATTATATAATATAACATATCTCATTATACCTTAATCTGATATTTATAAACAAGAAATATAAAATCTTTTTAAATTTCGCGCGATAATTAATGTTATCAAGTTTTTTATATCTTATTTTGAAATTTATTAATCATATATCTCTACGTTAATAATTTGATACGTAGAATAATTAAACAAATCATTTCTGTAAAAAATTCCATTTAAAAAGTATCGATAATCTTTATAGAATCATAATCACCAATTTTTCCGTCATTAATTTATTCGCGACTTCTTAAATTATAAAACATTTTTCTTTAAAAAATTAAATATACAATATTCAAGATATAATTTTGAATAAAGATGAATATATTATATATGTACACACACAAAATTGATGTGTAAACATATGTAGCATATCGAAAATATATAGAAAAATAATTGTTTATAAAACAATTACTAAAATCGGTATATTATAAAAACTGTTATTAAGAATATTATTATCCAAAAAGATAATTCATTCGTGTGATCGAATACAAGCAACCGAAAGAATACTCGGTAATAAAGTATAAACTTTCACACTTTTACCTATACTATTTCTTAATACATTTCCCAGAAGATACCTTAGAAAGTTGTTTCTGAGGTACCTTTCTACTCGTGATAAACAGTACAATTATTCGCGTTTTAAAAGCATTATTCCTTGCAATTTGCGATACAATTTTTTTCTATTTCCAGTTATAATTAAGTTATGTATTTGTTTTTCTTATTTTCTTTTCTCCCCACAGAATAGAAAATGATAAGTGTTATCACAAGATAGAGAGAAAGGCGGGAGGAGGGGATGCTTACACAATCACAAATAAATCCAAGAATAAATGTAATATAAATCTAATTTGTGTAAGATAATATAGATCTCGGAACAGAATGTGATGTGTGAGCTCTCGCGTTTTATTGCGAAAAAGCGAGTACATATAATATCTGATAAATAAAAATTATCAATAGTCGAAAGATTGGGCGTTAACATGTCACATAGCTTCTCGCAATGATAAGAAAAGACGAGGATATTACGTCACGTAATGTATAATAAACCCATGACGAGCAATGCATGCGAATTAATCAGCAAGATCAACGAGTTCAGACGACAAACCTAGCTCATGCCGATGAGATGTCTTCGCCTTACTACCATCCCAGAAATTCGTAAGCTCCATGGAATCGAAGCTGCATCTCTCGCGCTCGCGCCGCAGATCAGCGTTGATCGTTACCATCATTATTAGCTGATTATAGGAAAACGTCGCACCAGAACATCTGCCAATAACAACTGCTGTTCACGTGAACTACTCCGGCCGACTCTCCTACGCGATCACGTCACAGTGTCGCACTTACAATTGATAACAAATGCACTGACCTAACTGTGCCTAACTGACGGTGACGGACTGACGATACCACAGGCTGATACGAGCAGTGCGACTCTCTGTCGCTCTCTGTCTGTGTTAGGCGTGTTGGTACTTTTAACAGCTCACTCACTGAGCGCTCAGTGAGCGGTCGTGCTTCTGGATGCATCCAATGGGTGTGTTCAGCGGACTCAAGTTGAATGAGCGCTCGCTGTTATTGGTGCATTCTTCTAGATCTAAAATTCTGATTGGATGATCTGAAAGAATACACCAATAACAGCGAGCGCTCACTCAACTGTTGAGTCCGCTGAACGCGCCCAATGAATGCGGCTAAAACGAAGGACGCATGCGCGCGCGAATAACTTGACCAACATCGCCATCTGAAGTATCTGAACTTCTTATTTCTTTTTATCTATTTTCTCCGCACTTTCTCTCTCGCCCCTTCTCTAGCTCATTCCTTTATCGATAAAATGTTAACAATAGTCAGTTAAAATTTCAGTATCCATAGCGTATATTTCGAGTATATATAATGTTTCTTTTTAAATTTTAACTCCAAATATAAATAGGTATTTAAGAGTATCTTCCATTTATAACACAAGTCGAGAGACGCAAGTATCGTTCTGTCTTTGTTACTCGTGGAATGCATTAAGATAACGACATTTGAATGCTGTATGAGAAAGATAAGGGAGAGAGAGAGAGAGAGAGAGAGAGAGAAATTTAAATAGAAAGTTACTGGGCAATTTATTACTTAGGGCTTAGAGCTCTCTTTTTCGAAGAAAGTTTTGAACCTGGTGATACACTGATGCAATATGTTGGAGTAAACAAACTATATATTCGTTTCACTCCAACTTATTGCATCAGTGGGGCAGTGTATACACGTACAGTACACTAGTTCAGGTTCAGAACTTTCTTTGAAAAAGAACTAATCTCGGGCATGCCCTTCCTTTTGTCAACAAGATCAGTTGCATTTTACTGTATTCAGTATTGTTACAGATTCGCAGAATGTCTCTGCTAGTTCGAAGATGCAAATTCTGGTATCCAACGCTAGTAAACAAGCTAAAGCTTCATAAATTACACGCTTGGTCGTTAACTAACCTGATTTGGACTTCAAGAAGTTTTTGCAATGCACACGCGAAACCGAGTATTTTAGATGATAGAGCTAAAAAGTTTTTAGATTATCTCATGAATGAATACAGAAATAAGTCTTGGCAAAGTAATAACTTTATCGATTTTGTCGATTTAAATGCTTCCAGTAATTTATTTAACGAAAGAGTACAACTTGTAGAAAATATTCAAAATTTAGATGATTTAGGTAAATAAAGTATGTTCAGAATGACAATTGATATTATTTACAATAATTTACAACAAAAATTTTTTTCGTAGGGCAACAAGATGCAGAAATAAAAAAGTTAGCGGAAAAAGAAAAGGAGTTGTACGAAGAACAATTAAATGAACTTGATGAAAGTCTGTTGCATATGATACTAGCAAACATGTGCAAAGATTTTTACAGTAACATCATAGTTGAAATAACAGCAGGTGTTGGTGGTCAGGAAGCAATGCTGTTTGTCAAAGACTTGTATGATATGTACATAGGTTACGCCAAGTATTTAGATTTGGATTACGATGTGATAGACATAGAGATGACTGATAATAAGGGTATTAGACACGTCAGTATTATGATGTCTGGTGATCAAGTTAACAAGTTTCAACACGAAGGTGGTGTACACCGAGTACAACGGGTACCAGCCACAGAAAGATTAGGCAGAGTACATACCAGTATTGCCTCAGTGGCAATTTTGCCAGTGCCATCAGAAATACAAATAGCGATTAATGAGAAAGATCTAAAAATAGAGACAAAAAGATCGTCTGGCGCAGGTGGTCAACATGTGAACACTACAGATTCTGCAGTGAGAATAACGCATTTACCAAGCGGGCTCAGCGTAAGTTGCCAAATACATAGAACGCAAGGTAAGAATAAAAAAATTGCGATGGACAAACTGAGGAGTATCCTGTATGAGCAGCAATTAAATAAGCAAACGTCATTCGTGAGTAAATTACGAGAGAAACAAATGGGATTAGGATTCAGGAACGAGAAGATCAGGACATATAATTATAATCAGGATCGTGTGACTGACCATAGGCTAAATCAGAATGGGACTTTCTACAACTTGATACAGTTCATGCAAGGTGGAGCAGCTCTAGAGGAATTGGAGAAAAGATTGTGTGATCACATACGGACAGAGATGTTGCTAGAAGTTATAAAAAAATTGGAGACACAATCGAATTAATGTTAATCCATTCTAGATTATTATTTTGATATAAAAGATTGTATAGGATTTGTTTTACATAGGCAAGCCATTGTACAGAACACATACTCAAATATATGTAGTAATATATACTAACACATTCTCATTTAATCGAGATGTTATTCCTCTTATTTGATGATAAGACAGACTGACGACTTACTTTTATATATGTATACACATACACACATATATTTGCAGAATTCACTGATAAACATATAGAATTTTGTATTTATTTTTATCATGATTATGTAACGTGTAAAGCAACTTTACTTATTTCATTAAATACAAAAGTACAAATACAATAATATACAAAATTCATATGTTCATAATTTCATTTTCGAAGCTTTTTCTTAATTCTTAAGAATCACGAAAAAGATCCTCTTGTCATTGATAAAGACATATTTCTTTCTATATTTGAATTCCATATGCCTTATCTTTGTTCAGGCCTAAGCAGATTGCACATGATATCGCTATCTGAAGAGGCTTCAATATGCAGCACAATAACGATCCCATGAAAAGTTCTATTATTTCTTCATTTAAATAATCTAAACTTATCTAAAATTTTAAATAGGGACTTTTTTGTACTTGTGCAGATATGCAAACTCTGAAGCAGCTACTTATCAGATATTAATTCCGCCCTCTTTTCTTATTTCTTCATTCAGGAAATTTACTTTCTCATCCTTTTCATTTTCTAATTAAACAAAAATATTTACATAATTATTATGTTTCTAAATATTAATTTACAAAAGTAAAATATAAAATTAATACCTCTCAGGTCTGATTTTATATCATCTTCTTTCTTTGTATTAATGTTCATAATACGCATGTCCATTTCTTGACCTTTTTCTAAACGCAGCCGCTTCGTAGATCCCTTTAATATAAAAAAAAATGTCAAAATTCAATATCTGCATATAGTGCTAATAATACACTTTTTTAAATTAATCGAGTATTGGATTATTATAAAGGTTACTACCTTGTATGATCTGTTATCTCTTCGTCCACCTTCACCTTCATCTTCACTATCACTATATTCATTCTCATGTTGTATTCTCTTATCTAAATCACGTTGAGGCAGTCTTTCATCAAGATTCATCTTTTCTTCACTTTCTGAATCTTCAATAACAGCACCATCCTCTGGTATTGCCTGAACTTGTACGCCGGGTGCATGAGGTAGCATTCTCAAGTTTTCAAACAACCTTGTTCTAAGGTAAAAAAAAAAAAACGAATAATGAATTAGTTAGTATTATATAAAAGTAAAAACAAATTACACATAGAATGGAAAATTGGAACTTACTTAATTTTATCGAGATATTCGGAAGTATTTTGATTTGTCATATTTGAAGGACTAATATGCAATTTAAAGTCAGGACCAAAATATTCAAAGTAATCGTTATATGGAAGTTCATTAGCGATTTCACATCCGAGAGCCACTGATGTTTCATATGTCCAACATCTAGATACATTTCTGATAGTATAACCACCACCTCCCACCATTAAGAAAGGTAAATTATATCTCTTCACAAACTCTACACATTTACCATGGCCTCTCACAGTTAAATTGAAACATCCCAATCGATCACCTATATTGATTAATTTGCATATACATTGAGAATTATGTAATTTTATTGCAATATATAATTGCTGTTTAAAAAAATCTTACCTGTCAGTGAGTCTGCTCCACACTGTAAAACAACAGCAGAAGGTTGAAATGTCTCCATCACTTTAGAGATGATAGGAACAAATATTGATTCGTAGCTTTCATCATCCATACCATCTCTTAAAGGTATATTAACCGCATAGTACTTTCCCTGTTAATTATTGACAAAAAAAACCATATATATTTAGTAAAACGATTAAAATTTCAGATAAATAGCTATAAATATACTATATCATTACAATATTTTAATATTTTTTTTTACCTTTCCTGCTCCCATATCACGAAGATCTCCCGTTCCAGGGAAATATTCGCCATACTTATGAAATGAGACCGTCATTACTCTATCTGTTGTATAAAAAGCTTCCTCTACTCCGTCGCCATGATGAACATCAATGTCAATATACAAAACTCTCTGATGATATTTTAGCAGTTCCAAGATCCCAAGTACAATATCATTTACATAGCAAAAACCAGAAGCTTCGCTCTTCTTTGCATGATGTAAGCCACCACCCCAATTAATACAAATTTCTGAGGCTTGCTTGTTGAGTTTAACAGCAGCAGCTACAGATCCACCAGCTGATAATTGGCAAAATTCGTACAAACCATCGAAAACAGGACAGTCTTCCCCTACATTAACTATCCCAGAAAGAAAAAAATATTAAAATTTTTTCAAAAAACATCATGTCAATCAATCATCATTATTTAACAATAATGTCTTACATCGTTGCATTTGTTTATTGTATTCTCCCATATTATCTGGCCGTATTGATCTCAAAAATCTGATGTAGTCATCACTATGAAATTTTGTCATTTCTTCTGCTGTAGCTTTATGAGGTCGCTAAACAATAACAAAATGTAAATATATTATAATAAACACATTCTAAATAAATATATTTTGATAGAAAATTATAAACAAGTAAAAGATGAACATATAAATGAAAGATAATCATAAAAATGTACTTACATATATTTCCATCTTTCTATAAAGACCATAATTCAAGAGTAGATTATGCGTCATGCGTATACGATGTGGCTTCATAGGATGTCCTTGACCATAATAATAATTTCCGATATCACCTAGACAAATTGAAAAAAGAACATACATAAATTAATCAAAGCAATATATAAAGGATTTCAAATTTTTCATTATCATTAAATGATACATTTCAGTGAAGACTACAGCATACCGAAATACATTTGAGAATCTTTCGCCACTTTCTACAAAAACTGTATTATTTTCTATTATGCTGATTAAATTATTGATTCATACAGAAAATATTTTTCGGAATAAGCAAGATATATAAAAAACATAACTGCATTATTATAGTTCATTGTAATTACACTTGGATATACATGGATATATGATAGCTATGTAACCAAGAACGGCTGACGCTACGGTCGCGCGATAGCACGGTTGAGAGTCTGTCGGCTTAACCATGCGAAAATCGTATTATCAAACGTAATGAGCATACAAATCTCAGTCTACAGCGCCGAGACAATCGTGTTTCGTACTATCTGTCATCTATCAAGCGGAAAATAGACTGATTAGTGGCCGAATGTTAAGCGAGATAAAATACTTAGATGTGCAACATATTTCGACGAGGTTCCAAGGTATGTTTCTGTGGTTTTATGGCACTCTTTGAGTACTTACTATCATAGTAATAACAGACACGTTTCTTAAATGGCTGCATGGCCATTTCTATGGATTCTGCTCTCGTCACAATCGGATGAAACTGGATGAAACACTTGATACAGAATTAAACGAAGATCATGGGTAGTGGCTTATACTGACAACTGTACACAACTATACCCCAATATACATGTGTCGTTTAAATTCGCCAGAATTCGCTTCCATTCGCTTGCACCCTGAAGTCGTGAGCAGGGGAAACTCTCCCTCCCCTCTTTAAAGATGCGTCCGAGTTCCAGCGACATCTAGGTTAGAACTAAATTCAGTCACATGACTGCTTGATAAAGTTGCGCTAAATTCAAATCGTACACTCGAGAAAATATCCTGGAGTACTTCCCACTTCTTTTGATTTTTAAACGTCTCTAACAGATAAAAGATTAAATATAAGTTTAAAAAATTACTGGAACGTTATAATCAATATTAATATTATTATGGTGGTTATCAATATTACCACAAATATTATATATAAATATACAACTAAAAAAAGGAGGAAATAAAAAGTACTACAATCGAGATTGTTACAGACCGCAAAACTGATCTCTTAAATCTGTGATGTCTCGGACGTGAGACTAGCTGAACATATATTATCTAAATCAATGTAAATACACTATTGCAATTGATTTTAACATATACTATGATTTTAATCCAATGGTTTTAATATGACTTTTTCTTTATTGTTTGAGATTGTACATAAAATCTGTTAATTTGATGGTGACTTTATCTCAAATATGTGAAGAGGAATAATAATTTTGTATACTGAGGATGACTCTAAAGTAGAGTCGAACGTTCATTGACTTTTTAAAGAATAAATGAATTAATGCATATTATTAACCACGCTAACTCTCATTTGCCCGATCTTTGGATCTATTTTTATTTGATTTATTTCAAGAAGAATTTATAAGAAGATTTATCATGATCTCTTAAAATTTTCAGAAATGTACGCAGAGTGGAAAAGTGGCAGAAAACCAGGAAAACAGAACAGATATTATGTACGTAAAAAAGGAAGGGATAGTGAATAGAAGTATAATTGAGAGGGGTTTAAGTAAAATCCAGTCTTCTCTTGAAAAGTTGTCATTTTGATACGAAAACGACCTTGTTTTACATAGGCAAGCCGTTGTACATAGCAAATTGTAATAAACTCTATGTAATACAAACAACATCCCCTGTTCCCCGAACGGAACTCGTTCCCGCGACGAGGCCACCATCCGAGAATCGGAGTTCAGCGGTAATATAATAGAACGTTCGGTGATTTATTCGATAAACATACAACAAGATCTCATATTGCTCTTTTTTTTTCTTTTTGTCTTAACCGCGTGTCCAAAGGCACACACTTTTTTTACACACACACATGTCAATATAATACAGCGATTTACAAAATTAACGTTTCGTAATGTTCTGTAGATGTTGAATGGCGCGTCGCCATTGGTTTATAATGTACAAAGCGAGTGTATCATAGTGTATTTGTGAATATGCACCGTAGTACGCGACCCTGCTTCGACGACTAGAAAAATCTATGTCTCAATAAGTGTTAGCATTTGAACTGACTAGATCGACTCTAGAATATTGGAGTTTCCTTGTACCATTCAATTGTCTTATCTACATATAATGAAAATGTCAAAGTCGGTTGAGATACTTTGATCTTCGGAACGTATTCTGATATTCAGTAAAATTTATTTTCCAATTCTTAAAAAAAAACAAATTCTTCTAATAATACCAGATGTA